TTCTTGGGTTTGTTTTTAAAAGCCTCTTGCAATGCATTAGAAAAATGCTTGGATCGAGGCAGCCATGACTAAAAGATGCGGTCGTTGCCTGCCAAAGACGACAGACTGTGGTTCTCCTTTCTGTTCATTTTGTTTGTTAAAAGGAAAAATAGGGAAAGAGAAGAAGCGTCTGTTTTAGTATTTTGGCTTCTTTGGAAATGGTGTGTTTGTGTGTGGAATGGAGCGAAGGTATTCTTTGCACCTGAGGATGGGGAGGCAAATTATCACTGTTTTCTGGGCCAAAAATGCTGCTTTTCAAATCCAGCCTGTGGGTTTATTTTAAATCCACTGAGCAGAAAGGAGCTGATGATCCCAAACCGCTAAGACAGCCATTCTCGTGGGCTGCATGAAGCTACTGACACATTCCAATATTCAGAGACTGCAACCGGATAAAAAGAATTGCCCTGCTGGATCAAACCCTGGTCAGCCTAGCCCAACCGCAGCCAGTTGTCTCTGTCTGAAATCTCACAAGCAGGGAATGTAGGGGAAGGCCTAACCCTAATCCTAACCCTAATCCTGGTTTTCAGAGGTAGACTGCCTCTGAACATGGAGTCAGTCTACCACTGAGCACCAATTCAAAGATCTTTTTGCCAGCATCATTTATGTGCTATCATGGGAGGGGGGATTATTGCTCTTTTCAGGGCCAAAAACTCTGAGCTGACCACTGCAGTTCAAAACTGTGGTCTGATTCACATATACCTGGATCTCTGGAGGGTTCAGAAATAATCTCAGGTTTTGTGTCATAAGAACATAAGAGAAGCCAATGTTGGATCAGGCCAATGGTCCATCCAATCCAACACTCTGTCACATAGTGGCCAAAAATACCAGGGGCCACCAGGAGGTCCAGCAGTGGGGCCAGGACACTAGAAGCCCTCCCACTGTTGCCCCCCCAAGCACCAAGAACATAAGAACATGAGAGAAGCCAATGTTGGATCAGGCCAAAGGCCCATCCAGTCCAACACTCTGTGTCACACAATGGCCAGAAATACCAGGGGCCATCAGGAGGTCCACAGTGGGGCCAGGACATTAGAAGCCCTCCCACTGTTGCCACTCACACCCCAAGCACCAAGAATACAGAGCATCACTTGCCCCGGCCTGAGAGTTCCTATCTATACCTGAATAGTCTCAGCTGGATACCTTGGATAGCCACTGCCAGTCAGAGTAGATAATCCCGATCTAGATGGATCCATGGTCTGAATTGGTTTAAGGCAGCTTCATGTGTTTAGTATGCAGAACCTCTGTTTTGGGGATGGATCATGGGCCATTGGTAGAGAACATGTTTTGCATGCCAAAGGTCCCTACTTCAGTCCCCATCATCTTCACTTAAACTTTAAGGCATAAAAGGGCTCAGGTAGCAGGTATGGAGAGAGACCCTTTTCTGCCTGGGACCCTGGAAACCAATCAGAGAGTGGAACTGGTCGTATCTGCTACTCCCGAGGCGGCCTGAGTACCCGCAGGTTTTCTTTTCCTTTAGGCGTCGCAACACCGGCCTGCTTGTCCGTATGACCAGAATGAGGGCAGGCGAGAGATGACACGATTCCAAAGGATGTCCTTCTGGGCGCGATCTTGCAAAACACTGGAAAATTAGTTGTTTGCTCACCTGCCATAACTGGGATCTTAACGAGGCTCTGTGGATTTCCCACTCTGGTTATAATAGGCTGGCTTCAGGCTAGCCGGGTGGCAGGAGAGAGACCGGCGTCTTCCCTTGGGCTGCAGACAGAGCAACCGGCAGACGCCGTTTGCTCCACGGAGGAGTCTCCCCGGCATTTGAATCTCACCTGGCAGCAGGTGGGCCTCTGGAAGCCAAAACTGGCATCTGCCCGCTGGAGGGAAACGCCAAGGCTGCCAAGGAGCAACCTGCCACTGCCCGATTAAAAAATAACAGTCTCCCAGAATGTTGTTAGGAGGCAGGGATAATTACTGTACTTTTCACAGTGTCAAATCGTTGTGCTGGGTTCCTCTCGCTGCCTTTCAGATCAGTCAGAAAGGCAGCGGAATTCGATCCTCCAGAGAGTTTCATGTCCATCTCTTCATACTTGGCCTCTTCCCCCAGAAGCATGAAGGTGGCTTTGCAATCATCTTGTGCTTGTGACTTGAATGCCAGCTGTCCAGAATAAGTTATTTTCGTTTGGCTTTTCTTGGACCGTGTATTTTGGAACCCGCTTTGGGATGGAATACGGAAAAACCGATACGGCCGTTGTGGTTTCTTTCCGATTCTACGCGTCGTAGTGATCATTCATTTCGGCCTACTTACTTTTCTGGGCTGTCGTCGTTCCTTTTGGGGTTTCTGTCGACACTATTTTTATGCAGTCGGTGTACAAACAGTGTTGCAAAGTGTTAGGATTTTGTGTGGGGAATTGAGCGCAAGGATAGAAACCGGTGCAAAAATAAAGAGATTCGCTTCTTACAAGGTAGGCATGAAATGTGGGCATTTGAATCCTACCAGCAGATTTGTGAAGTTCAGCCTCTTCCCTAAATGGGAGGGTACTTTCCTGTTTATTTGTTAGATTTTCACTCCGTTCCTCCGAATAGCTCAAGAGCGCTGTACACCGTTCTTCCCTCCTCATGTTCTCCTCACAACAACCTGGCGAGATTGGTTAGGCTGAGAGAGTGACTGGATCAAGGTCACCTGGTGAACTTTATGGCCAAATGGGAATTTGAACCCAGGTCTTTTCGTTCCTAGTCTGTATATTCAGACCGCTGCTTCAGGGGTCCCCAGCCTGACCCTCCAGGCACCTTTGGGATTTTGACACAGAGTGCTGGGCACAGTCACATAACGGCTGCCACCGGAGGTGGAGCCAATCACAAAATGTCAGGGAGAGAGAGGTTATATATAACCGTAATAGTGACACGTCAGCATTTCAGGCATAGTAAAGGTAAAGGTTTCCCTTGCTCAAAAGCCAGTCGAATCCAACTCTGGGGTTGCGGTGCTCATCTCCGTTTCCAAGCCGAAGAGCCAGCGCTGTCCGAAGACGTTTCCATGGTCATGTGGCCGGCATGACTAAACACCAAGGCACACGGAACGCTGTTACCTTCCCACCGAAGTGGTACCTATTTATCTACTTGCAATTTCTTGCTTTCGAACTGCTAGGTTGGCAGGAATTTCAGGCATAAGCGCTGTTTAATAGGATGCCTTCTAATCTGTACAGCTAATCAGACGTCCTGCTTTGCCAACACCCACCTTGCCCCTCCCACTTTCTAAAAGCTCTTGGCAGGTTCCAGGAAAGGTGTTGCTGGGAGCCGTGGTGCCCAGAGGCACCGTGTTGGGGACCCCTGCACTTCTTTGTTTTGACTCTCCTAATCTGGTGGGTGGGGTGTGAAACAAGAGCTTTGTGGCCAAGAGGTCTATTCCAAGGGGGGGGGGGGGGGGGGGGGGAATGCACGTGCTCAGGCTGTGGAGATGAATGTGCAGTGCCAACCCATGGGAACGGCTGACAGCATGGAGCCTCTGGGTGGGCTGGTTGAGCTATCAGTACTCGGGACCTCTTGCCTGCTCAACAGACCGGCACCTTCTGTCTGCCATGTTCTAGCCCTACTGGCTGAAGCCCCAGAACTTCAAGCTGCTCACTGCTGGGAACCAGCGTTGTAGGATCATTTCATGGGCGGCCTGTGACCAGTGTTCCCTCTAAGCTGAGTTAGTGTGAGCTAGCTCACAGTTTTTTAGCCACCGGCTCACACATTTTTGCCCAACTCAGGAAGGATGGCTCCAGAGCAGACTGATTTATGCAGCAGCCAAATCACTCGCTCACAACTTTAATGCCAGGAGCTCACAAAGTAGAATTTTTGCTCACAGGACTCCACAGCTTAGAGGGAACATTGCCTGTGACCCCATAGGGTTGCCAACTTCCGGGTTCCACCTGGAGCTTTCCCGCTATTACAGTTGGTCTCCAGACTACCAAGTCCAGTCCCCCTGGAGAAAATGCCTGCTTCGGTGGGTGGACTCCATGGCATTAGACCCTGCGGAGGCCCCTCCCCCTCCCCAAACCCCGCCCTCCTCAGGCTCCGCCCCCCCAAATCTCCCGGTATTTCCCAACCCAGAGCTGGCGACCCTACCCATGAAACTGTGTTAGAATGAGTCAGCCCCTTGGGCTATCTAGGTCAGTCTTGTCTATTCTGACTGGTAGCAGAGGTCCTCCATCACCTGTTCCCCTCCCTTTTTCTTTCGGGGCCGCTTTACCATGGATCAGCTGAGAAAGGAACAAAGCCCCTTAAAGGGCTGGAGGGGAGAGCCCTCCCGGGAGTGGAGCAGGTGGAGTGTTCAGGTGAATCTTCTGCCCCCTACCCACCCTGCAGTTTCCCCTGGAGCCTGTTTAAAGTAGGTTTATTTTTATTCCAGCTCAAAGGGGAAAAAGCCAAGAGCTGGAAGAGTTGTGACCATCTTGGGCATGATCGCAGGGATGCCAGCCTCCAGGTGGGACCTGGGGATCCCCTGAAATTTCAGCTCATCTCCAAACTTCAGAGATTGGTTCCCTTGGGGGGAAAAAGGATGCTTTGGAGGATGGCCTCCACGGCATTGTACCCCACTGAGGTCCCTGTCCTCCCCAGGTTGTTGTTGTTGTTGTTCAGTCGCACAGTCGAGTCCAGCTCTTTTTGACCCCATGGACCACATCACGCTAGGCCCCCCTGTCTTCTGTCGTGCTCCGGAGTTTGCTCAATTTCATGTCCGTTGCATTGATAACACTGTCTAACCAACTCATCCTTTGCCGTCCCCGTCTTCTTTGACCTTCAATCTTTCCCAGCATCAGGGTCTTCTCCAGTGAGTGCTCCCTTCTCATTGGGTGGCCAAAGTATTTGAGCTTCAGTTTCATTATCTGGCCTTCCAGGGAACAGTCAGGGTTGATTTCTTTTAAGATTGACTGATTTGATCTTCTTGCAGTCCAGGGGACTCTCAAGAGTCTTCTCCAGCACCATAATTCAAAAGCATCTATTCTTTGGCGCTCGGCCTTCCTTATAGTCCAGCTCTTGCAGCCGTACAGTACTACTGGGAATACCATCGCTTTGATCCTGCGGACTTTTGTTGGCAGGGAGATGTCTCTACTTTTTAATCATGCTGTCTAGGTTTGCCAGTGCTTTCCTCCCAAGGAGCAGGTGTCTTAATTTCATCCACCCCCAAATCTCCAGGAGTTTCCCAACCTGGGGCTGCTGGCAACCCTACCCCCATCCCCAGCCAGCGTCCCGGAGGGATCCGGCAACCCTAGCCAGGATGTCACCCAGCTGCTCCTAAGTGCTGTGAGGGGGGGGAAGGTTCTTGTTGCCCCTGGGGGAAGTAGGCCGGGTGAGTGTCCTTTCCTCTGAATGGCAGCGCCTCTCCGGGGTCTCAGGTAGAGGACATTCACATGATCCATTATCTGATCCTTTTCACTGGAGATGCCAGGGATTGAACCTGGGACCTTCTGCGTGCCAAGCAAATGCTTCCCCGCCCCTGCACCACAACCCCTGACAAATACTCCTCACAGATCCAATCAAGTCAAGAGTCTCAGGAGGGTGCCAAAAAAGAGAGAGAGAGAAATTAATGATCAAAACTGGAGCAGCAGCGTCAGGCTGGGGTGCCAATGAGGCCACTTACAACCTATTCATCTTTTCTGCAAATCCAGCATCCCTGTCCTGTGGCCCTCTCACTCATTTCTTCCCTTTTGATACATGGAACTAAATTTAACCAGCTTTGGCACAATCATTCTCCCCCCCCCATCCCTCCTCCAGCACCCACCTTGTTTTTTTTCTCTGGCGTTCTGCTAAGGACTGGCTTTGAGTGTGTTTCAAAAACCAATGGGGTGTCTTTCTGCTTCAGTCAATAATCTCTGTGTGGGAACAAACAAGCCCTAGAATTATACCAGCGGGGCTGCGTGGATTTGCGTGGGTGCGCTGTGCAGGCACGGAATCGGGTGCCGAAGCTGACATTCCCTAGGCCCAGCTATGTTTGTTCATGGAAAGCAAGTATCCAGTCCTCATGGTGTATCCTAGGGGGGAGAGATCTTTTGGAAGACTGCAAGGAGCAGCATAGCCCAGGCTGGCCTGATCGCGTCAGATCTGTGAAGCTAAGCAGAGTGTGTCCTAGTTAGTATTTGGATGGGAGACCACCAAGGAAGTCCAGGTTTGCTATGTCAGGGCTTTTTTTTCTGTAGAAAAAGCCCAGCAGGAACTCATTAGCATGATAGGCCACACCCAACAGCAGAAAGTCATTAGCATATTAGGACACACCCCCATGACATCCCCCTGCTTGCCCAGGCACCCTGCGACTGTGGGGAGCACGGGCAAGCCCCCCTTTGAAGGGAAGGGAGTTTAAACTGCCTTCCCTTGGCTTGTCCGGGCACCCCACGGCTGCGGGGAAGGCATGGGGAGGCATTTAAATGCCTCCCCAATCCTTCCAAGGGGCCCCCTGGCCGGCCCGCCTCGGAGTCGCTGGGGGGGGGAGGTCGCTCTCCAGGCCTTCCCTCTGTAGCAGAGTTTTCGGCTGTAGTGGGCGTGGCCAACTCTGAAGCCAGCCGGAACTCCGTTCCTGTGCGTTCCTGCCCCCAAATATCCCTGTGCTATGTAATGGCGAACCACTTCTGAATTGTTTTGAAAACCCTATGGCAGCGATGGCGAACCTTTTAGAGACCCAGTGCCCAAACTGCGACCCAAAACCCATTTATTTATCGCAATGTGCCAACATGGCAATACTGAGGTTTTACTTTAGAAAAACAACCCATACATTAACTTAAGATGATCCAAACAAAGTAAGGAAAGCAATCCAAAATGCTTTCATTTACTTAAAATTATTTGGCAGAGAATTCGACACTTTAATGATGGTCTGGGCCTGGCTGGGGCGATGGCACGCGTGCCCACAGAGAGGGCTCTGAGTGCCACCCTCTGGCACCTGTGCCATAGGTTCGCCACCACTGCCCTATGGGGTCACCATAAGTCAGTGGGGGTGATGGTGATGGTGGGGCAACATTTGAGAGAAGAGTCCAAAGTCAGAAGGAGAATGGGCAAGTTTTCAGGGCTTATTGGATAGAGGGCTGAGGGTGGGAATGCCCACCAAATCAGCAATCAAAGCAACAGAACAAAGCTCCTAAGGGAATAGGACCAGACAAGTAGACTGACAAATAGACTGCCTTTAAATATGGAGGCTTCATATTGTCTCTCACAGCCATTGACAAACATGAAAGAACATGAGATGACATTTCCAGTTGTGGACCTCCTGATGCCTTCAAGAAGCCCCCAAATACCCACAAAGGCAGTAGCGCTGTCCAGCTGATGTGTCCCAGCACCCAGTATTTATTAGGGCTGCCAACCTCCAGGTGGTGGCTGGAGATCTCCTGGGGTTACAACCCATGCTCCCTCTAAGCTGTGGAGTCCTGTGAGCAAAAATTCTACTTTGTGAGTTACTGGCCTTAAAGTTGTGAGTGAGCGATTTGGCTACTGTATAGATTAGTTTGCTCTGGAGCCATCCTTCTGGAACTAAGACAAAAAAGTGTGAGCCGGAGGCTAAAAAACTCTGATCTTGCTCACACTAACTCAGCTTAGAGGGAACACTGATTAAAACTGATCTTCAGGCGCAGGGATCCGTTCCCCTGGAGAAAACGGCCACTTTGAAAGGTGGGCTCTGTGGCATTAGACCCCACTGGAATCCCTCCCTTCCCCAAACCCCTTCTTCTCCAAGCCCCACCCACAAAATCTCGAGGAATTTCCCAACCTGGAGTTGGCAACCCTGGTATTCATTGGTACAGGTTGTCTAAACACGGAGGTTCCACTTTTTCCTCCTGGCTAATAATACACCTTTCTTTCTTCATGCATTTGTCTGATTTTTCTTTGGGAAGAGAGCTGAACTAGGGGCTCTCACTATTTACTAATATGGTTGCCAACCTCCAGGTGGTGGCTGGAGATCTCCTGGGATTACAATTTATCTCCAGGTGACACAGATCAGTTTGCTTGGGGGGGAAATGGCCGCTTTGGAAGGCAGACTCTATGGCAGGGGTGTTGAACTCATTCGTTATCTGACATCAATGAGACCTTGTTGGGCCGGGCCGCGTGTGTCATAAAATGTAATGCCAGGTTGCAGAGATATAAACTTTATAAAGGACACAAACACAAAGGGTTTTGTTTTTTTTACTTAAAATAAAAACATGCTTAAAACATTAGCACTCTTGCAATATTTTGTTTCTTTAACAGTGTCTGATAACTGACACCTCTTGCTCTGAATTATTACACTAAAATGTCTGTGCTGTTGCAATCTTGAGTATGCTGTTCAGGTGTGCATCTGTAAGCTGCAAACCTACGATGACACAACAGCAGCAGAACTGAAAGAAGAAGCAGAAGACAGCCAGTTCCACTGCGGGCCTGAGAGAAGCCCTCTGGGGGCCTGTTCCGGCCCCCGTGCCACATGTTTGACATCCCTTCTCTATGGCATTACACCCAATGAAGTTCTTCCCTTCCCCAAACCCCGTCCTTCTCAGGTTTCATCCCCAAAATCTCCAGGTATTTCCAAACCTGGAGCTGGCAACCCTGTTTACTAATGAATTCCATTTGTTAATTGTGATGATGCTCGCTCCTTCCCCCTTGTGTCTTTTTTTTTTTTTTTTAGCCCCCGGAGGGGAATTTTTTATTATTTTTCAAAACTACAAAAAACTACTACAGAAAAACAGGAAGGGGAACTACATATACAGGATAAGTAAAG